GGGAAAATTGTAAAAGAAATAATAAGGAATAATTAGAATATGCAGCAGTAAAAGAAAATTGAAAAGAACCATGGAAGGGGGAATTCAGTGTTAAGCAAAGGGTTTGCTTTCTTTGATTTGTGTGAATGTTGTAAAATTGAAAAGGATAAATAAAATTTATTTTTAAAAAATTGTTCCACGCATTCCTAGGAATTATTTTTTAAACCTCATTTCAGTCCCAGAACACAAATTAATGCCAGGCCACCTTCTGTAACCGTGACCAGAAGTGACTGGTCCCATCTGACATTTTTCACATGTGGTGGATTGTAAAATTATAAAGAAATGTTGGGAAATGATCTCTAATGAAATGAAGAAGATGTTTAAAATAACCTTTGTTTTTAAAAAACCAGAAGCTTTCCTACTAGGTATTACAAGAGTGGACTTACCAAATCCCAAAAAGAACTTATTTATATATGCAACTATGGCCGCACGCTGATAGCACAACATTGGAAAGAAGAAAGTGTCACAGCTAAAGAAGATTGGCAAGTCAAATTAATGGAATATGCTGAAATGGCAAAAATGACAATGAAACTAAGAGGAAGAGATGACAATGAATTTAAGGAAGAATGGAAGGTGTTTTGTTGTGCACCATACTTTTCGCTCTATAAGACGCACCAGACCATAAGACGCACCTAGTTTTTGGAGGAGGAAAACAAGAAAAAAAGTATTCTGAAGCTCAGAAGCCAGAACAGCAAAGAGGATTTGCTGCGCAGCGAAAGCAGCGATCCCTCTTCCTGTTCTGGCTTCTGGGATAGCTGCGCAGCCTGCATTCGCTCCATAAGACGCACACACATTTCCCCTTACTTTTTAGGAGGGAAAAAGTGTGTCTTTATAGAGCAAAAAATACGGTATATACAGAAACATCGTACAGATGTTAACACATTAGCAGGATTTTAGGACTACTTTTAATTTTGTTATAAATAGGTAATTTAAATGGTTTTCAAACTTAACAATGGACATTGCGGTATGTTGATAAATAATGAAACCAAGGAAGGGACTAGGGGGAGGTCAATTTGTTTGTTTTGTTTTGAATTTGTATTTTTGGAATTGTTTTTTGGAAAATTAATAAAATGTTATCAAAAAAACCGAAACAGAAGTGACTGGTCCCATCAGTCCGTGCTCCCTTTATAGCCTCATCTCAACATCTTTGTGTGATCGTGGCTTTGCTCCCGGTCACGATAATCGGCCCTTTGCTTTAATTCATCCGGGATCTATCTGAACTTGATCGGACTGCCCTGTCATTTCCTTGCCTGTGCACTTTTCACACCTCCACTCCCTCCATCTGTCTGAATCGAAGCTCTGATCTCCTCGAGGAAACAACGAGAATCTGCAGTGGGACTTGTCAGCAGGCGCCAAAGTACAGCTACAATTGCCATTAGCAGACCTGGGCAGAGATCCAGGGTGCTATTTGGGTAGCCCAGTGGGGTTCCTGCTCCATCCTCTTAAATTAGATGACGGAGATTGAACTCCAAGTCTCCCGCATGCAAAACGATTGCTCTATCACGGAGCTGTGCTTGGAGAGAACCTCTTAGCTTCAGAACTGATTTACCACATAGCGTAATCCACTACCTGTTGCTCTCCCAGTATTTTTAAATATACAGTGGTACCTCTGGATACGAACTGGACTCTATTCCGAAGCCCTGTTCGCATCCTGAAGCAAACACAACCCACGTCTGCGCATGCGCGGGTCGCGATTCACCACTTCCGCACATGCGCGTGATGTCATTTTGACTGCGCATGCGCGAGCGGCGAAACCTGGAAGTAATGCGTTCCGTTACTTCCGGGTCGCCGCAGAGCGCAACCCAAAAGCGCTCAACCTGAAGCAACTTTAACCCGAGGTATGACTGTACAGTGGTGTCTTGGTTCTCGAACTTAATCCATTCCGGAAGCCCGTTCCCAAACCAAAGCATTCCAAACCAAAGGCGCTCTATCCCATAGAAAGTCGTGCAAAACGGATGAATCCGTTCCAGACTTTTAAAAACAACCCCCAAAACAGCAATTTAACATGAATGCTACTATCTAAGAAGACCGCCGATCCATAAAATGAAAGCAATAAACAATGTACTGCCGTCACACAATTAATCAGTAGCTGAACTGGGTTCCACACAGTCACAAAAACAAAACAAAAAAGCCGCAAAAACAAACACGCAAAAGAAATAGCAAAAACAGACAGACCTCAGCATAACACTCAAATCGGAAGCGTGGCACTCAAAACGGAGCGTGTTCAGCTTCCGAAAAACGTGCTCAAACTGGAACACTTACTTCCGGGTTTGCAGTGTTTGAGTTCCAAGTTGTTTGAGTACCAAGGTGTTTGAGAACCAAGGCACCGCTGTATACTACAAGTCCCATCATCCCTGACTATTGGCAATGCTGGCTGTGGCTAATGGGAGCTGTGGTTCAAAACATCTAGAAGACAACATATGGTCAAGACTGAGCTAAAGCCGTGAAGTGACCCACGTGTTAAATTCTACAGAGGACAGCTCTCTGTTTGGAAGGCTGTGTGCCAATCCAAATCTGGTTTTAAAGATGCAAGAATAAGAAGGAAGATAAGTTAGGAGGCTTGAAGTTCCTCAGAAACAGGAAATAGCTGGTCACCATTTTGCTCCACACTATGGTAAGATAAAGACTTAAACCATGTCAATTTAAAAAAGAATCTTTTAAGTTTTTCTCCTATGTTAAATCAATTGAATGGCCCACTAAACCCCCTGTTCTACAGATAAGCACGTGGAAAGGCTTTATTGAGAAATGAATTGACTTGCCTATTTTTCTTTTTAAAAATATATGTGATAGTTAAATGCTGCGTTGTATTCTCAGTTATTTCCAATATTTCCTCCCCATTTTTTCCCCTGTTTCTGCATGCATTTGCATTGGTTATGCTTATCACTTTTGCTGTATTTTGTATGTGAGATATATATATATAATATTATATATATAATATATATATATATATCTCACTATTGTGGGATGCCATGTACATCTATAAAAATTATGACATCCCCCCCCCAAAAAAAACTGTAAACTGGTTTAAGGTTTTATTGCATTCAAGCAGGGCTATCAGTGGCTACTGGAGGGACGCGGGTGGCGCTGTGGTCTAAACCGCTGAGACCTGGGCTTTCCGATCAAAAGGTTGGCGGTTCGAATCCCCGCAACTGGGTGACTCCCGTTGCTCGGTCCCTGCTCCTGCCAACCTAGCAGTTCGAAAGCACGCCAAAAAGTGCAATTAGCTATATCGGTACTGCTCCAGCGGGAAAGTAAATGGCGTTTCCATGTGCTGCTCTGGATCACCAGAAGGACTTAGTCAGGCTGGCCACATGACCCAGAAAAACTGTCTGTGGACAAATGTCGGCTCCCTCAGCCAGTAAAGCGAGATGAGCGCCGCAACCCCAGAGTCGTTCATGACTGGACTTAACTGTCATGGGTCCTTTAAAGGTAAAGGGTAAAGGGACCCCTGACCATTAGGTCCAGTCGTGACCAACTCTGGGGTTGCGGTGCTCATCTCACTTTACTGGCGAGGGAGCTGGCATACAGCTTCCGGGTCATGTGGCCAGCATGACTAAGCCACTTTCTGGTGAACCAGAGCAGCGTACAGAAACGCCATTTACCTTTCCGCTGAAGCGGTACCTATTTATCCACTTGCACTTTGACGTGCTTTTGAACTGCTAGCTTGGCAGGAGCAGGGACCGAGCGAGGGGAGCTCACCCCGTCGCGGGGATTCAAACCGCCGACCTTCTGATCAGCAAGTCCTAGGCTCTGTGGTTTAACCCACAGCGCCACCCGCTACCTTTCTATCGGTGGCTGGCCAGAATGGTTCTGCTCTTCTTCCACAGTTGGAGGCAGTGGTGCTTCTGAATGCCAGTTCCTGGAAACCACAGAAAGAGACAGGACTCTTGGGCTCAAGTCCTCCTTTACAGGCTTTCAACAGGCATCTGGTTGGCAACTGTGACAACAACATGCTGGACTATGTGGGCCACTGGCTGGATCCAGCAAGCTCTTAGGTTTTTCGGTGTTGTATCCAAAGGGGTGAGAGGAGCCGCTCCGGTTGGAAACAGCGGTTTCAGCTCTCTGCAAACTTCTGGAGAGGTTTGCAGTTCATCGCCTGCAGTCAAGAACGCCTTCGTTGCAAAGGCAGGAAAAGAGCAGATCCCCATATGTTTTCCTTGATGAATTGGCATGGTAATTTGCTCGGTGTAGCAGAAAACGCCGCACTTTCCCATTCCTGTCTACGACTTGCACATCCTCCGAGGACGTGGCCAAGGTCAGGTGTGCGATGGTGAGAGACTGGGAGGCTTTGCACGTACAGCACCACGCAGAAACTGGATGGGAAATAAACTGCTTGCAGTCAAGGATGCCACAGATCTTTTAGGAACACAGTGCAGAAGCTGACCTCTCAATTCAAGGACCAAGTAATCTTCAGATCAGAATATGGAACATTTAGCATTTTGGATTCCACCACACATTTCTAGGGTTTCTTCATAGAATTGTAGAGCTGCAAGCGATGCCCAAGTGTTATTTACTCCAACCCCTTGCAATCTAATTGTGCTGGGCCTGGGGGTAACCACGGTCCAGGACCGGACCAGAGGTTCCGCTAGGAGTCAGTCCAACAGGGCCAGTGCAGGACACGAGACAGGAAACCAGGCAAGGACAGGTACAGGATCTCAGGCAGGATCCGGCATACAGCAATGTTGCTCCTGCAACCTGGGGCAGGGTCCAACAGTCTTTTATCTTTGTCGGGGTAGCGGCTGGTCC